ACTTCCACCTCCCTTTTAGATTGTAAGCCCTCAGGGGCAGGGCCCTCCTTACCATCTTGTCTTGATTTGTATTGTGATTGTAATGTCTTCCCTATATTGTAAAGTGCTGCGCAAACTGTTGGCGCTATATAAATCCTGTATAATAATAATAATATCTGTAATATATGAAAATATTGAAACCGCAGTATTCGCCTAAATTAATGTTTACAGAGTACAAGCATATACTTTACATATAAATAAGCAGCATTACAAATCTAAAGTGATGAAAATAAAATAAACTGATGTATAATGGTAAAATTAGAAACCTGACTGATATGAAACATCATTGCCCTGGCTGTTGCTTCCATACTGTGCCTTGACATGTGGCATGGCTAAATCTGGACAGATTAAAGCCATGGGCTGAAGGGTAGTTAGAATAATGCATGTGTACCAAGTGTTGATTGAAGTTCACCCTTATGTTCATGTCAAGCCCCAGAGCTAGTCTAGTGCACTTTGCTCTGAAGGATTTCAACGTCTGCACGCCAAGTTAACAACAATGCTTTATAAACTACAAAAAATAAATAAATGGGGATTGCATATTAGGGAACAACTTGTTTGTGTCTTAGGCTGGGTTCACACCTGGGCGTACGGAATATGCACGTTTGCCGCGCGTTTTGTGCAGTGCGTTTTGACCGCGATTTGTGGTAAAAATGTGAGACAAATGCGCGTTTCCGAGTGCTATCCGGCTGTACCCTAATGGATACGCACGGCAAATATGCCCCAAAGAAGCTTCTGTACTTCTTTGGGCATAGGGCGTTTTCAGCGCGTTCCTACGCGCTGTAAAACGCCCAGGTGGGAACCTTGCCCATAGGCAATTATTGGTTTTCACATGTTGAGCGTTTTACAGCGCGTAGGAACGCGCTGTAAAACGCCCAGGTGTGCACCAGGCCTAAAGGAAGAATTGTTTGACATGCAGCCTGACAGCAACCAACAACCAGAACTGCGATGAAAAAAGTTCTTGGAGAAAGTTTTATTCTGATTGTCAGTTCTTTCTTGCAATTATCTTGCATCCAAGATTTGTAGTTGGAATATTGTCCTGTTCAGATCATTGCTACAGAACCTAAAGAAATAAAAGTTACAAACCCTGTAGAAGATTTCTATTTTCTTTCTGTCCCAGAAACATAACAGGGAGTGTAAATCTTCCCAAAGTGAAGGGAAACCCCACCTTTGGCATTTTTTACCAGAACAAGTATCCCCACTTAAGTTTCCCTCCCCCCTTACTGGAACTATAGTAATGGTGGATCTCCCCAGCAGGAATATAAAAGACCTTCTCCACTCTATCCACAAAGGTAAATAAAACTGGTTTTGGGAAACTATTTTTGGATTACTTTTTTGAAGGTGGCTGAAAATTTATGAAGATTTGAGAGTACAGGAAAGTGGTACAAATTCTGGGAAACATCATGAAAAGGTTAAGATTATTTTTCTTTTTTTTTTAAACATGCAGTACATTCAACAGATGACTTGCTATATGGATATTTAAGAACTTGCTAGCTCTTAATGGTGTCAAAGATGTATGGTATTTTTGACAATAGCGCTAGGAAAGATGACAAAGCTTAAAAAAAAAAAGCTAGAGCTGGGGAAAATAGAGTAGGTTCCAAAAAGAGGAGCGGTGCACAAAAACCGTCACCTGTCTAGGTAAAATGTACTGAAGTCCGCTGCCTCTTAGTGGGATCCCACTTTATCTCTGTGCTATCAGCGTCCACAATAACACCACAGTCTCCATATCAGAAGTTTTAAAGTACACTTGCCACACGAGAACTATGGGGCCCACAATTTCTAGCTTTCTTCTGAAAATTCTAGTTGTCTAGCTGTGTCTGGCTTTACCAAGCTTACAACAAACAAGGTTTCATAATGATTTGAAATCATTGTATCTAATCAAAGCATTATTATGACAGCCAGACACCTAGCATTTTCAGAAGAGGTCAGCCAGTTCTGCTTAGGCTCTATTCACACCTGTGCGTTTGGAATTCAGCAGGTTTTTTACACACAGAAAATGTGCAGCCGGGCAGGCGCACAAAAATGTGCAAATCTTAATAGACGCTCGTTTTTCCGAGCGTTCGCGGCTACAAACACAGTCTTTTCGGGGACAGAACATGCTGCAATCACCCAGAAAATTGTGCATGTACTTCTTTCCACGTTTTGCATTTTTTGTGCAAGCGTACAAACATGCAGGTGTGAACAAACCCTATAAAAATGTATTACTTTTTATGTTCACGCTTAGAAAAACACTGTGAACGTAGACTAAAATCTTTAGCTAAATCTTGCTATATCTACCGTTTATTTTTCCCTTTTTATTCAGTTCTTCTGAGATTTTTTTTTTCATGGCTAACAAGCTGAAGCAGTCCATTTGCACAATATTCACACATTTTCCGGATTCTTTTAATTAACAAATGTTGTTTCAATAATTTATTGATTTTCCTGAAAAGAACAATTTAGCACTGGGACTAAAAGTGGCAGAGTTCACCGTTCTAATCACAGGCATTTTTATTTCCTTTACTTGGAGAAAAATTGTGAAGTGAAAAAGTGAAGATTGCTTTATTTCAAATTAGATGTTAGCTTGGTAATATTTGAGTCCAATTAAACAAAAAAAAGGCCAGATTCATTAAAGCCAGCAGTACTTTGCAATCTGTAACTTTTAGAGCTGCAAAATGTGTTTTTTTGTTTTTTAAAACTAAGCCTAAAAGCATGTTTTACAGGGATTGAATAGTGCACATATTGTATTTCGTTAGTATTATTTAAAACATGTTTCTCTTTTTCAGGTGGACCAGGTAGAGCTTTCAACTCTTTTTCACATTACCTAATGACAGCCTTGTTAACAGGCTCCATAGCTCAAGCTGCAATTTGCATTCACAACAGAAATAAATCAGTGACTTATCCCTTATCAGACGACTCAGTCCAAAGTTTGTCAGACAAACTGTGCTTCATAACAGGCTGTACCCTCTGTGGTCTTTCTTAAGCTAACCCAAAATGTCATGGGAATGGGTCATCTAGATGTATGCAGAGCCTGAGATGACGAGGGTAGCCTCTCTTACAATTTTGGCCAAATGTCCCTCATTAGTGAGACAGGTCATGTGTGGACAAGGGAACCTTGTCCCTTGTCCACACATTTTTATTTTAGTTTTGAATAGAGTAGCAAATGTTAAAATGCCCTTTCCCCCCCCCTTTTTTTGCCATCTGTGGCGCTTTCACTTACACATAGACCACGGTAAGTGAGAGGAAATGTCTCCAAAGTGAGGAAAATCTTCTTTAAGACAGTAGTCACAGGAGCAAGTGTCCCCATTGAAGGATTTCCCCTCTATTACGGTTACAGATTCCCTTTCACTTTCTGTCCTAATGGCAATGGTCTCCAGGACAAATACAGAGTGTAAATCTCCCTAGCAGAGGCACAAACGGCAATAAAAACTTGACAAGGTTGTTAACCCTTCCCTACTCTACCCAAAACTGCAGAAAAAAGTTTTGACATGATGCACATAAAGACGCTAGTTATTATTAAGAAGTACACTATTGAGAAGTATATTTACCTTTCCTGCTCTTGCAGAAATGATGAAAGAGCTTGGTTAACTTGCTTATGAGTTATAGGAAAATGTAAATATTCAAATGTAGTTTGCAAATTCAAGAAAGCACGATCTGTGTTTGATGGGCTTAATGAATTTGTGTGCTGACTTGCTTGTTCTTTATTTTAACCTGAATTGTGTGTATATTTATCTGTTCCTATGTCTACCTATCAATCTAGTAGAAGCACAGTAAGCATTGGTGGAGAGCATAATTAGAACACATGGAATGAAATTTGAGGACACAGAGGTTTTAATGGTATAGTCATGTGCACCAGTGAACTAACTAGTTGACCTCAAAATTCCTAACATGGAAAATTAAGTACTGGCTGTAGTCTGCTTGTGCTGTGACACACTCACTATGACTGAAAGTACAACTTCATTAAGAGTTTGCTGCAGTCAGTTGCCAGGCATAGCCACATCATAATGTATGTCCCTCAAATTTTTACTTTGCATTTTTTAATGGTTTCTAATTTATCCATCTACCAGATTGTACTGCAGGCTTCCAGTGTGGTGTACACCACAATAAACATTGTCAGTTTAAAGGGTCAGTCCACTTTTCCTGTTTATAGGTTGATGTGTATAATCACCCATGTGCTTCAACATATTTCTCTGCACTGGGAAGAATTTCTGTGTTGCCACAATGTGAACATTACGATAACATTGACAAAATGGGTGGAAATGTTAATACGTCCAAAAAAAATCTCACCGCACAGGGCTGAATTTACCTCGCAGGAGCCTGTAGGTGAACAATCTTTGAACCATTGAGAGATGGGGGAAGTTTTGTCAATGATTGTACAGGCCTCTTCTTTGCCTCTGCTGCCTATAAGCACAAGCCTACTGTGCCTAATGGTAAGTTTAGTCCTGTTACCAAAAGAAGAATTTCAAACATTGCAGAGTGATTCGTACAGGCAATATTTAGCTATAGGTGACATATGTTTTTTCAGTGGACTTACCCTTTAATACTTTATTGTTACCTCATTCTAAAGCTTTGCACAATTGATCACTTTGCTTTCTCTCTACCTTCGGTGGCAGCTTTTTCCCTGTAAAAGGACCAATCTGTCTAAGGTAGAGAAACTCAATTTCTGTGTATTGATTGCCGTGCCTGAATGTAGTGAACTCTCAAAGCCTGTGCTAATCATTTATCCGTCTTATTTAACATTATCACCTCAATAGTTTCTCCTAAGAAATTCATTTACATTCAGACTTTTCAAATAGATGTGCCCAGCAGCTGGAAACCTAATTAGCAGCCCTGGTCAACCCATTCTTCATTTCCTGTGAAAGTGAAAAAATAAACCTTCCATCTTAAATTGCCCTTTCTCTACATTTTCCATGGTCATCATTCATTGCACCATCATTTTTTAATATCAAGGTCTGTCTATAACAGAGTTTGTTCTGCTTTCTTACCAGACTGGAATTTGAAAGACAACAACGAGAAGAGCTTGAAAAACTGGAACATAAGAGGTATGTAAAACAGGAATCTAGAAATGGGTAAATGTGTAATAGGTCTTAATTTGTTAATGACTTGATTGTTTATTTTTATTGTAAGATGCATTGGGAGTAGTAAGTGATAGATGGAAGAGATAGTAGCTAGATAAATTGGGTTTTGCATGTAGCCAAACCATATCTATGTAAAAAAAATAAGAATTTTAAAATACGTGTACACCACCTTTTGCAACAATTCATTTTTTTTATAGCTTTTTTAATGTTCTTGACTTCCCACTGCCTATGATGCCAATCCCATATAGAACTGACAGTCACCGCTCACTGCAGGGAGACGATGAGGATGTGAGCGGATTGGTGCATGTTTCTGCTCACTTCGATTGATAGAGCCGAACTGTGACACCTTCTTTGTCACAGGTCGGTTTTAACTATAAGGATGAGTGGAAAACACTCACCTCATAGTTCTCCTTTAAGATAATTTGGCGAGTGCATCATCTCCTGCATAATCTTGCTGATAACCAGACCTTTTATCAAAAAGCATGAAGAAAACAATTAATGCTTATATGCCAGGGAAAATCTTTATTTCTGTTCTTGTGTGACTGGCATCATCCACCTTTCATGTTTCTACCCCAGGAACCTCCATGCTAAATGTGCATGAGCAGACTCCTTCTCAGTAAGGCCAATTTCACACATGCTGTGCAGGTTAGGGCAAGTTCGAAAATACCTGTTTTCACAGGTATTTCACTTTCTGACTGAGTGAGCAAGATATTGCTCTTGCAAGACATCGCTGGGGGGTGACATTCTGCAGAATCTTCACCAGCAAGAGTGCCACATGTTGCTCATCCGACCTGCAATTGAGCAACCTATGGAAAAATGGTGAGTTGTTTTTTTTTGCACTTTTTAGCAGTGACAGAATTGCAAGTGTGACCTAGGCCTTAGACCAACTGCAAGTTTGATGCAGCCATCCCCTGTATATTATGCATCACAGGACTTGTACCCAGTGCCCTTTCTAGTCGTCTGACCAGCAAACTAGGATCTTACAATCTTTCCACCCTGGTCTGCTGATGTGGGGAGGCCAATCAAGTTTTACTATAGAAAGGTACTTTAAAAAAAAAAATACAAATGACATGCTTTTGATGCCAAAGAAACTTGTCCCATGAAAATGTCCATTTTACTTGCAATGTCTACTTTAAAGAGCCAGCCTTGTGATTTTCCTTTAGTTTTTACTTTCCGCAAAAGGGTACATTTGCTTTCACCTTCATTTTCCTGTCTGAAAATATTATTCATGAAATTTACCTCACTCTCTCTTGAGCTGTGTGGCCATGAAAACCAAAGCAATTTAACAGAAAGGCATAAAGAAATAGGTGCTGTTTGTCAATTTCCAAGAGTAGGCCCTTAATCTGAATGGAGTTTCCAAGGCATGATATTATATCGCAAATCAAAAGATGGCCGTTGTCCTGCTTTAATGGAAAACATAAAGCTTTGTCAGTCAGTTTGCACTTGCAAATCGGGGAATTTGTGTGAGTACCCATACATCCATTTCTTTAGAGTTTTGGCAGCCAAGTAAACAGTTTAAAAGCATATCGCTGGGTGTATTTTAATAATTTAATGTATCGAGCACTTTGGGTTGAAGAATATTCCTGCTCAGATTGCAGAAGTATTGGTGCTCATGCTTTCTTTATAGTGAAGGTACAGAAAAAAATGTAGCCCACTGTATTAACAGGACATATATACAGTTAATGGCGACAACATCTAAGCATATTTTACACCGTTGTCACCATTGTCAGTTTGATCTTTATGTTGGAGGTCTGGCTGGTTGTGTTGCATTTGTAACAACACAGTCGAGTACTGTTTGACACTTTTTAATTTACACCAACAAGACCTTCCCACATCTTAGTCCAAGCAGCACTAATACACTCTACTACTGGAACCAAGAAAAAGGGGGATAGACCTTAAGAACTTGCTCACACCAGATGCGTTAGGGTTGTCAAATAAGCAAAACTTTCCAGCACAATGTTACTGCATACACAAGGCGTATTGTATTGTTTAGAGTGAATTCAGTTCTCCCCACTGCTTTGTGATGGTGTGCACTAAATTTTCAATAAAGTTTAAAAAAAAGTTAGTGCAATGTGTTGTTTTCTGCGCATCAGCACTGCTCCTGACACAAGGCACTCCAGTGGCTACTTTCTAATGCTGTGGACGAGCCCTGAATTTTTTTTTCTGGGAAATTAATTGTTGGTGCAGACAAGTAATATTATAAGTAGTACATGCTGTACTCAACCATGTTGTAAGTTTGGTTGAGGATGGTTTTGTATATATTCATGTTTGTCATGTAAAAATGACATTGTAGAATTGTTTATTTTGTTTCCCGTATGACATTTCTCCATATGTACATATGTACTGTTGCCTTGAGAAAGGGACCCTGCAAGGCCCCAAAACATCGGTATGTATGTCTGTGCCGCTGTTCTTCACAGTGAATCTGTGAGACGCATTTATTTGTCTGGAGTGCTGGTGATTTTGCACCCTACCATCAACCAATAAAAACTTGACAAGTATTCTAATCTCTCTCTTTTGGCTTTAGTTGCACTTTAAGAGAAAGTAGAGGTAATTAATAAAATATTTTAAATAAACTCTACTTTATATTTATGCAATAAATATTTGTTTAAGATTACTTTTTTTTTTGTCTTTTTCTTAGTTCTAAAGCAATGTCATTGTATTGTCTGATACCCATGGTTTACTGTCCATTTCAGAGCATTATTATGTGTCAATGGCTGAATGATATATTCATCAGTTATTGTCAGTGTCATGTAAATTTATGAGCTGGATTTTAGAGGTGAAACTGAGAAATGAGTAGCAATACTTAAGAAATAGAATGTGGCACTGTTGTCCACAGGGATTTTGCACTATAGATTTTTCTAGCTAGATTTTTTAAAAATGTTATTTTAGCTTACACCGGATGTCGTAAATATATGTATGTATGTATGTATACACTGAGTGGCTAGATTATTATGACCACCCCATCAGTACTGCGTTGGGCCACGAGATAACGCCACGAGATGACTTTGTTTGGCCGCCTCGTGACTTTAAATTGAAAAACTCCAGACTATCAGTGTTTACAGACACACACCATGCCTTGCTTGGTCCCTGACTTTTTTGGGCAAGTCGTTGCTAGGTGAATGGAGATTAGCAGACCAGCTGCTGTTAAAGTTATCTAAAGCCAAAACGTATTTTTTTGTAATCTTTTATAGATCAGGGTATGGTTAAACCTTTATAATTTTTTTTTGTTTTTTGCCATTAGTTTCTCACTGGGGATATGTCCCTTGCCTGTAAACACAACAGGCAGTGAAATAAAGATTCTCTCTCTATTCCTGTTCTTGTGACCACTCAACATTTTTGCATTTTTCTTGACTTTTAGTCCTGTTGACAATGGTCACCAGGGAAAATAGATGGCAAATATCAACAGCAGGGACATAGAAAGCAACAGCCCCTCATCACTCTGTATGAAATTAAAAAAATACTAATATTTTTGGCTTTTGATACACTCCCTTCCCCAGAGGACCCCCTACTTCCCCCGCTCCTTTTATTTTCTATTTTATACTTGCAGTACATTTTCCAGATGTCTTCCGGCTGGACAAGTGACATGCATTTTCATCTTCAAATCTTCTCCCGGCGATGGGTTGTCCTCTGCACGTGATGCTGATGTTATCACATCAGCACAGCTTGCTGCACAACTGATGTCCACCCACTGCCAAGAGATGATGTGCATCTTTACACATGATTGCAGGCACCGTAGTGATGCCCCCATGGGGGGGTGGGTCCATCATACCCTGCTTTGATTATCTTCCCAATGATGCTGTGCGTCCTTCATCTTAGAAGACTGAGAACATCTTGTAGCTGAAAGCAATTTTTCAAGCTCCAGAGAGGAAGTAAATAATGCAGGGGTACTGTTAAAAAATTGCCCCATATTGGGCTTTAACATATGTAAGGTGACCACAAGCTCATTCTGGGGAGTTCAAGCGCATTACCAGGATATTGCAGAGAGGTTTTGGGTCTGCTCATAGACATCCACATTGTGAGATGTACCTTGAATACCTGTTTACTGAACTCTTCTGGATGTATCCATTTAGGATTCCTAAACAGAAGTTTTCCTTCATATAAAAAGGTGATCATGAAAATTCTGGGTGAACCTTACTTTCACTGCTGACAATCTTTCAGTCAATACCCATGTTTAATCACTGCAAGTAATGACCAGGGATGTAAATTGTTTTTTTAATCTGTAAATCTTGCCTGAAATTGAAGGTCTACCTTATTGCATGAATATTATGTAGCTTTTGTATTTTTCCCTTATCTCATATACTGTTATTTCAGGAAAATGATAAAGGAAATGGAAGAGAAGCAGCAATCAGAAAAGGTTGAATTAGAGAAAATGCAGCAAGAAGTAGAATCTCAGCGTAAAGAAACAGAGATTGTCCAGCTACATATACGTAAACAAGAAGAAAGCCTAAAGAGGAGAAGTTTGGATATTGAAACCAGACTGAAAGACTTGCTGGCTGAAAAGGAAAAATTTGAAGAAGAAAGGATGAGAGAACAGCATGAGATAGAACGGCAAAAGAAAAAGCAGGAAGAAGAGGGTTTTGTCAAGGTCCAGCAAGAACTTCAGAGGCTTCAAGAGCTGCATAGTACTGAAAAAGCAGAGAAATTGGAAATCTTTAAAGAACTGGAAAAACTTACAAAAGAAAAGGATGACCAGTACATGAAACTAGAGCTGGAGATGAGAAGGCTGGAAGAACAGGAGAGAGAACAGATGAAGATTGTATTTCGCCTTGAAGAACAGCTTCGAGAAAAACAGGAGATGATCCAGCTTCTAAAACAGGGGGATTTCTTGAGATTAGAAGAGGAAGTCCGAGTTCTTGAAGATGTAAGAGAAGATCTTCTACGTGCTAAGGAATGTAGGTCAGAAGGTGAAGAAGATCCAGAAGAGGCTGAGAAAGCAATAAATACATTTTCAGAATTTAAGAAAATCCAGGTAGAACAGTTGGCTAGTTTGGTGGGTGACTTAAATCAACAAAAAGATCGATTGGAGAAGGAAATAATTGCTGATCGGGACATTCTTAGTAGATTAAATCTCCCGAATGTTGATAATAAGAAAGAAGATGATTGTTCTCTGACCTCAACCCCGATAACAGAAGATGGAGACACAATAAAGCAAATGGAATACCGACTGCACTGTAAGGAGAGACAACTTGGGTACATAAAGCACAGCCAACTGCCGGCATTGCTAGATGAAAAGCAGAGAGCGTCAGAGATTCTGGACAGTGGTCTGCTAGGGTTAGACAAAACTTTGTATCAGATTGAGAAAGAGATTGAAGAAAAGGCTGATCAGCTCACACAATTTCGGGCCACCAGTGACCAACTACAACAGCTACAGGAAACATTTGAGTTTACTGCAAACATAGCTCGCCAGGAAGAGAAAGTTAGGAAAAAGGAGAAAGAGATACTGGAATCAAGGGAGAAGCAGCACAAAGAAGCCTTGGAGCAAGCAGTTGCTAAACTGGAACGTAGACATTCTGCTCTTCAGAGACATTCCACAATAGATGTTGAAATAGAAGAGCAAAAGCGTAAACTTGCTGCAATGGACAGCAGCCAGGAACAGGCTGGTCTTCAGGCCAGTTTAGAAGCTGAACAGAAAGCTTTGGAACAAGACAGAGAGCGGTAAGCATAATTATCAATATTTTTTTATAAGAATTGTATTTGCGGTAGGATAGGAGGATGCTCGGTTCACTGTGAATAAGTGGATATGAGTACTGGATAAACAAGTTCTAAGAATCAATTAAACTCTTTCAGATTTAAACTTTTGGAACTACAACATTCTCGGCTTCCCAAAATAAAAAAAAGTCAAAGCAAAACTTATAAAAATTGTAAACTGTGATCATTTAGTTTTTTGCTTAGGGGAAGAGGCTGCTAATCAGAAGACCCTAGATTTTTTTTTTCTGGCAATTTTAGAGACTTTTTATAATTATATTTAAATGACTATAATTGCTTTTTAAGTATGATTATGATAATATATTGAAAGGAAACCTGATCTGTGAGAAATTTGTAGGCGGCTGTTGCTGACTCTAAAAATGCTAGTTGCATGTCTATGTCCAGCTTCAGTCCTTTCTGAATTTGTGACCCCAAACAAACATGCACCAAGCAAAGTTCTGATCTCTTTGAAAGATTTAGGACAATCACTGCTTGTTGCTCTGATGTCATTCTGATCCAATGGCTTTGATACTGTCTGTGGCACTGACCTGAAACTTTATTAATTTATAAACATAAGGCAGAACTCCAGCTTTGTTTTAAAATGAAAATTCCCCAACATCTGTTAAAATTAAAAGTACAGCATCATTCAACCCACTTCGTATAAGCCCAGGCTGTCATACCCTGAGTTAGGCTATAGCTGGAGGCTACAAAATAAAATAAAATTGATGAAGATCAACTTGTTTTCCTTTAGTAAAATAACTTAATAGCAATCATGTAAAAAGTAAAGTAACAAAATTACTTTCAAACTGAACTGAAGTCGGCCAGTTTTAAAATAACTCCAGGGCTCATTCGTCCCAGCACCAAGGTACACTGAGCTGCACATGTAGGAGAAACATTGCCTGCATGCACAGGCAGGAAAGGAACTTTTATTACAGAAGGGGCATACAGAGTCTCTTCTGCAATAAAAGCCTACCTGCCATCAACGTTTCAATATCCGTCTATAGTTCTACTTTAAGGTAAACATTACAATATTTATGAAAAATATTTGCTCACTAAATAAAAACTATAGTTTTCCTTAGCTGTATATCTGCTGTGAGATTATCTAATGCACTTCTATCTCTGACTGATTAGTCTCAGGAGATTCAGAGTGAGATTTGGTGATGCCACCTATGTGCTGCTCACTATTTTTTTTTACTCAGACATGAGGAAGCAAAATCCTGCCTGTATGAAAATGGACACCTACCTAACTTACAAATGGAAGAAAAAAAGTTTTCATTTTTCATTTTTTGCAAATTTGTCAGCCTATAATTAAAAAACAAAACAAAAAAGTTTTTTTAAATTAAAACGGTGTACCAAAAAATTCCTTTAGATATCTGAATTGGTTAACTTGGTAAGAACTATGACTGAAGCATGCGGCCTGGCCGTCTAGATATCAATGACCTCTGGTCAGGAAGGGGTTAACCTGTTGCAATTTTTCTTAAATGTCTTCTTGTATTTTATTGCAAGAGGTTTCTATAAGTTTGTGCTTCTTCTTCAGAAAGAGCACGTTTCTCTAATCCTTAGCAACCAAGGAGAAAGTATCTCAGGATGTGGATCTGACTTGAGTAATGTGCAGTCTGCTTGCTCTGGGTATTTTTTTTTATTATGTGCGCTGCTGTAGGATATAAACTTGACTGCATGTTAGATGCTTTTGCCCCCATCTACCATATTTGTAGAGTCTTACGTTGCCTCTTGTGAATCACATGCAGGTTGTCTCATGAAATCCAGCAGCTAAAGCAGAAGATTCAAGTGACTGCTGATCCACTTTCAAAAAACCTGTCGGGAGCCCAGGAAGAAAAGCCCCCCCACGCCACCACTCCAGCAAGCCCGGTAAAATCTCAGCCACATTTTCTTCAGCTGACTGATGACAGGTATATAATCATATTTAAATCCTCTGCTAAGTAAGCATGGTACAACACGGGCAGAGCTATAATAACTTACATTGTGGCTGAATGCTTTTATCGTTTTAGGGAAGTGTATTGTTATTCTAGCTTGTGCTTTGAAATCAAATATTATTGTAGTAAAAAAGTGTAATTTTCCCTGCTTTTAACTTATTTATGCGATTATTCCTAAATTGCCTGGTGCATAGTGCAGTAAGTGGATACTGCTGACAAATATCCCTTACTGATTACGCTGGCTTTTTTATGTGCATTGTAAGGGCGTAAATTTCTGGTCTTAAGTGTATACAAAATCCTGTTTGGCCCTTATAGCAAGAGAAGCACAATTTACTTTCAGACTGTCTGATCAACATATTAATGCTTTTATAGAATACATGCATATATTGAAGAAGAAGTACAGAGACGGCTGCAAAATATAAATTTGCCTTCCGATGACCTCAGCAGCTTGAATCTGTCTTATTCTTCTGAAACTGGAAAGGTAAGATATTTATCATTGCATTCCCTTCTTGTATTGCAAAATATATAAAGTACAAAATATTAAAAAGAAAAATCTTTATTTTATAACAGAAGATGCCAATGTCCCATTGGCATGTCTATTGGCACACATTGTCCAGAGTGATCTGAAAGTGGTAATCATAGAAAGTGGTAATGGCAGGGGGGGGGTGGGGCAGTTGTATGAAAGGTAGGGAATAAGAAGCTAGAGTGAGGATGGGAACGGAGTGTGTGAGTAGACTTTTCCCTTGGAGTAGCATCAAAATATAGATAACACATTATCATTTGCACTGTTTAATGGAGCGATAGTGTATTTGATCCAATAGAACCATGCATTTCTCAATTCTGAGTGTGTGCCCTCAAGGGAACTGAGGAAAATTACTTTTTTAAGCATATGAATGATTAATGGTGGATGAGAGCAATGGGTAATGAGAGGGCAATGGGTTTATCACATCAGAAAAGGCTCAGCACCTCTAGGCACTCTGCAGCTGTCTTTTTGTGCAAATAGAGCAGCTTCTTGATGTGTGTCTGGCCAAAGGGTCCCTTGCTTATACTAATCATAACTTTAATGCAGGCATTTTCCACTTTTAGTGAAAGTGGAAAACCTTTTAAGGAAACCTAATGATTAGGAATATGTTAAGCCACAGTTAAAGCCCAAGTGAGGTTTCAAACTTTATCTCCTCCGAACCCATTCACACCTTGGCATCCTGGTGCCTTAACATAAATTTTTCTTCACACCTTACATGTTTTTACATTCATTTAAAAAGTCCATGAACCCATCACACTCCTAGCCGCCTAGTCCAAGAACAACTGGTGGGTGCGAAGGTGGCCGACAGATGGCGCCGTCACATTCACAAGACATAGATGGGACATTGGCACTCCAGATGAGAATAGTGCGTCTTTTATTGATGTAAGTGCAGCATATGACATAAGTGCTTAATGCACTTATGACAACAAAAGACGCACTATTGTTCTTATCTGGAGTGTCTGTGTCACATCTATGTCTTGTACATTCATTTAAATGAACAAAATGTAACAAAAAAATAACACAAATTGACATACAGCACACCGCAACACACGGTAGTGTGTAACCACGTATTGCGATGCGCTGCAATGCAGGTGCTACAAAGCTGTGTTGCCTTAGTTCGTGGGGTGCTATTCAAAATGCAGCTGGTTTGTGGGTATCCAAAGTTTCTTCTTGGTGTGTTTTATATAAGTTGCCTTAGTTGTAGTGCAACATGTCAGATCCCAATCATATGGGAGTGGTCCTGAGGGCCTCTACAGCTCACCTTAATAACAGCTCTGGGGTGGCTATTAGTGTCCCTCTGCAGGGACCTGACACCAATCGCCAAGTTTGTTGTTGACGCAGTGCACACATGTTAAAAATGGAGCATTCCGTGCCTGAAACCACTACTGTTATTGGTCTGGGTTTCCTAAATGTATTGAAAAACTTTCCGGTACAATCCTCTCTTCAAGCTATTCTGTATGGAGACTGGACTACTGCTAATGATCGGTTCTCCATTTTTTGAGCAATATCTTTAATTCAAAAGTGGGCTTTGCCCACCGTGGTTTCGGCTATTTCCAGTCCTTACAAAACAGGCTCTCCCTGGCAGGTCCCAACATGCAACCTGCCATAGCTGACATGTCAATCTATCAGACAGGGAATGGACCTAGAATGTGTCCGAGGTACCCACTGCTATCCTTCCTGACTATTCAGTTATTAATGACTTAGAGCTCATGCCTGCTGCATAACACTATTGTGTAGATGGGTTGGTGGATTTTCTCTGTTTCATCTCCTGAATGAGTCTCCTGTCTTTTAAAATGCAGAAAACTCTTTGGCTGAAATGTTTGTCTGCAGTCCAAAAAACACTTGCTGCGTATATTATAGGGATGCACAGATACCGGTTTTGGGGTATCGAGTACGATTACTGATATTTTGCTTTCGGTACTTCCGATACCGAGTACCAATGCCGGTGCTTCCACTGGCATGAAGCCAGCTTCCTGGGCAATCAAGAAGCTGCACATCGGGTAATGACATGCTGCCTGCTTCCTAATTGCCCAGGAAGCTGGCCCCACGTTGTTTAGCCGACTCGATTGTGATTGGCTGGCAAATCAGCTTCCGAGCCAATCATCACCGAGTTGGCTTCTCTGCCAATCAGGAAGCCGGGTGGCAAGTAATGAGCCGCCTCCTGGCTTCATGATTGGCAGGGAAGCCGGCTCCATGCTGATTTTGATGGAAAACCATCAGGCTGTTTGTCCAGCTCGATGCTAATTGGCCAGGAAACAGTCTTCCCAGCCAATCAGCAAGGAGCCAGCTGTTCGGCCTGCTCGATGCTGATTGGCCAGTAAGCCGGCTTCCCAGCCAATCAGCATGGAGCCGGCTTCCTGGCCAATCAGGAAGCCAGGAGGCAGGTCAATACTCACAGCCAGGTTCCTGATTGCCCAGGAAGTCTGCTCCATGTTCCCCTATGAAGCTGCCGGGCAGAGGAAATCTTCTTCCTCTGACTGGCAGTACAGGTATCTGGAAATGTATCTGAGCATTTGGGGGAGTACGAGTACTCCCTCAAATACTCTCTTATCGGTACAGATACTAGTATCGGTGCATCCCTAGTATATTATTTTAACAGGAAAACTCTCTTTGATGCTTTAGACAACTTTATTAAAGATGGCACAGGTAAAAATAACTTTTTTTTTCCTTCGCAAAAGAAGCCTAGGCCTCAAACTAGGAGAACTCCTCCTACCTCTGAAGTAAAGAAGAGTTTTTCTCCCATCTCCCAAGTCTTCTTTGCGATGAAGGGACACCCCCACTTTTCAATTTGGGG